TGAGCATGCTGGGTAGCATAAACTAGAACAGGATTCTAACAATGATGTAGTTATCAGCACCCAAATAGTCCCTAATGATGAGATTGTTAAACCATCAATAGCAATTAAAAAAGAACAGGCACAGGATGAGGTAGAACAGGAGCAGGTTGAACAGGAGAGTCCATCCGTAAGCCCTGAGTTAACTAGACGTTCAACCCGTGTAACACGACCACCAGATAGATATCAGGCTAGTATTGTATGCCAAGTAAATACAGTTCCTACTAACTACAATAAACCGAAACTGTATCCTGCTAAGGATCAGGATGCTTGGCAGGAAGCAATGGATAAGGAACTGAAATCTTTACAAAGTTTGGAGTTATATGAAAATGTCAGGTTACCACCAGGTAAGAATGCCATAGGGTGTAAGTGGATTTATAAACTTAAGACAGGTATAGATGGGACTGTTTCCCATAAAGCCAGGTTAGTAGCACAAGGGTTTGATCAGTCAGCCAATGACTACGATGAGGTGTTTGCACCTAGTCTGAAGGCTACCACATTACGAGCAGCATTAGTATGGGCAGCAAAGAATAAATAGCCAATAAACCATTTAGATGTGGAGACAGCATATCTTCATGCTCCATTGCAACATGCTACATACACTGATCAAAAAAATAAAGGGAACACTTAAACAACACAATGTAACTCCAAATCAATCACACTTCTGTGAAATCAAATTGTCCACTTAGGTAGCAACACTGATTGACAATCATTTTCACATACTGTTGTGCAAATGGAATAGACAAGAGGTGGAAAGCAGAGGCAGTTAGCAAGACATCCCCAATAAAGGAGTGGTTCTGCAGGTGGTGACCACAGACCACTTCTCACTTCCGATGCTTTCTGGCTGATGATTTGGTCACTTTTGAATGCTGGCGGTGCTTTCACTCTAGTGGTAGCATGAGACGGAGTCTACAACCCACACAAGTGGCTCAGGTAGTGCAGCTCATCCAGGATGGCACATCAATGCGAGCAGTGGCAAGAAGGTTTGCTGTTTCTGTCAGCGTAGTGTCCAGAGCATGGAGGTGCTACCAGGAGACAGGCAAGTACATCAGGAGATGTGGAGGAGGCCATAGTAAGGCAACAACCCAGCATCAGGACCACCAGCTCTGCCTTTGTGCAAGGAGAGACAGGAGGATCACTGCCAGAGCTCTGCAAATGACCTCCAGTGGCCACAGATGTGCATGTGGCTGCTCAAATGGTCAGAAACAGACTTCATGGGGGTGGTATGAGGGCCCGACGCCCACAGGCGGGAGTTGTGCTTACAGCCCAACACCATGCAGGACGTTTGGCATTTTCCAGAGAACACCAAGATTGACAAATTCGCCACTGGTGTCCTGTGCTCTTCACAGATGAAAGCAAGTAAGTGTGTGTGTGTGTGCGCATGCATGTGTGTGCATATGTATTTGCAAATGAAATATTTGAGACATTTCTAAATTGATTTTAGCTAACATATTCTACAGTGCCCATTAAGGTATCAAGCTAAAAATCAGGATCCTGTGAGTTCCAGGTCTGCCTTAGACACGGAGTCAGCTGGGTGCTCTCCAGCCAGTCACTTTCTTTCAGACCTTGGAGGGAAGCAATGGCAAACCACTTCTGAAAATCTTGCCAAGAAAACTTGGGGACTAGTCTAGTTCATCACCAGGGGTCAACACTGACTTGAAGACTCCATCTATCATCTATCAATCATCTATCATCTAGCTAGCTAGCTGATGGCAAACTTCAAATTTATATACCCACTGTTTTCTTAAATTAGTAAAGGTATATTAGAATGCTTTAAATTTGACTTTGTTTGAGAAATGAGAACTTGAGAGTGTGCCATTAGTTCTCACTCAAATGAGTATGCCTTGGCAAGTAGTAAACATTATATGTAATTTATAGCTTGGGGGGGAAAGCTGTGGAATCACTGGCAAAAAATGTTAATATGACTCAAAGCTGTTTAAGACTTTAAAAATATATGTTACAAATATAAATTAAAATTTAATGAAGCAGTAAGAATCCTTCTGAAAAAATCATTCATTGAATTAATGTCAGAGAAAGAAATTTTCAGAGAGATTGAAGATTAATTTGTATAATAGAACAGAATTTGTATTCATCTAGAGAAGTTTTAAAAGCATTTGTTCTGATATGTACAATAACGTACTGAACATGTACATCCATAATCATTATGTCTATTAATATTACACAGTTTAAAATACAACTCAAACAGGACACCTTGATTCAACACTGTTATAGACCTACTGTTATATAATTTATGTACAATTAAACAAATATTTTGTACTTCTAGCATAAATGGATTTCGTGTGCTATCAAAATCAGATAAAGTCATCTGATTAATCTTTTTCAATATACTTCTTGCAGACTGATAAATGTAATGAGCACTTATAAATGGAAATATAAAACTACACCCTAATTCTGAGAATTACTACAAAGACAGATTTTTATATAAAAAGAATATCTACTCTTATTGTTGAAGGAACTGTTTGCAATTGTAAAATGCTAAACGCTTGTTGAACATTGCAGAAGATTATATTGCCTAATTACTCTGTTCAAGTTCCATTTCAGCCTGCCATATTAAGATAAGAAATTTGATAGAACTATAAGATTCTTATCCCTTCAAGTGTCCAAATTATAACACTGTAAAGTCTTGCAGTTCCTTAGGAAATGTGGTTTTGAGAATGAATCCTTGTCCAGCAATTCATCGAAGGAAGATTGGCAGCTACTTCATTGAATTAACAAAGACAAGCATGAACTAAACTAAACTAAACTAAACTAAACTAAACTAAACTAAAAACTGTGGACTGTTTCAATGAAATACCTTTGCAAAGAGTGTTCAGGAATTTATCAATATGAGCTTAATTCAGAGTAAGCCAATTCATTTTGTACAAGTTAGCCAAGATAGTGTAATATTTTGTGAAACTGATTTTCTTACATGATGGACATATTTCTTCAAACTTTTGGAAAGCTGCAAATTTTCTGCTCCAAACAGCATTTGTGGGCTAAGGAAATATTAACCATGAACTTAATGGAAATATTATTTAAAACAACTCCTTAATGTGGCTTAATAGGCATTGCAACTTGACTATGATTACAGCTCTGTAATAGTTTAGTTTCTACGAGTAACACAGATATCTTATTAATAGTTACTTATACAATTTTTTCTGAAATCACAAATAATTATAATGCAATCACTTTATAATCACAATCACTGATTGTAACACAATCACAATACCTTAGATTACATACAAAACAATCAACTGATTTTTTTTATCAGATTTTCAGCTGGGTCCAAGCACTAAGCAGGACAGCAACCCTTTGAGAATGGGGTTCTTTATAATTTACTATAATTTACTATATTTACTAATAATGTAAAATATATGGCCTATTTTTAGATGGACAGATATTTTGTCCATCTAAAAATAGGCCATATATTTTACATTATTAGTAAATATAGTAAATTATAGTAAATATAGTAAATTAATGTAAAATATATGGCCTATTTTTAGATGGACAGATATTTTGAGGTACACATGCTGAAATAAACACTTTGAGTTTAAAGCCATTTACATCCTTTTATATAGCCACCTGCACTACTAGAAGTAATTCCCATCGGCCTTTATGAATTACCATTTAATATGCATGAATTTTTATACATATACAGTAAATGTAGGTTTATAAAGACTTTTGAGGGAGATGTAAGAATTGTGAAAAGAATGTAATATTCCTGATCATATTTTTATTTTCCTTTAACCATTATGTGCCTAAAGACTGGAGGTCTGTTTATCCAAATTGAACTAGGATTATTAAAGTAGAATGATACTATGATAATAATTTTGTAACCCTAAATGTCTACCTAAATTATTTTCTTTCCATATTAAGGCAGATCAAATAGCTTTCAATACATGTGCCCAATTTTATCCTATTTTCCTGTGTATTTTAGCAGGAGTGAATTTTTATCCATTCAGTTAAAATTTTTAATTTCATTTACAGTTTTCACTTTATAAACATACTCAACTTTCTCTAATGTATGCTAAATAACTTTAATTTTCAAAATAATTTATGTAATTTGCCTTTATGTTTATCATCATTTAGTGAATTGTCAAGATCTAGATTTTGTAATTTATCCCAATATGCTTTCCTTTTTAAAGAAACTAGACTTTTCTAAACATTTAAAAAATATTTTTTGTCTTGCATCTCCCACAAATACTTTCTGTGTGATTGTAGATATTTCAGCATCAAAAGATTGTTATGGTGTAATTCAACTTGATGGTTTTTCACACATTTGTTTATTTTGAAAAAGTTAAGTCATTTTTAATGTATGTATATATAGAGAGAGGCAGATTTGGAAATATTTTTCCAAAAATGTCTACTCAATGAAACTTAATGTATGTATGTACAGAAATCAATGTTTCTAAGTAATAATAATATTATATAGTCTTTATAATATCCTCAAATAATTGACTAATAGTGTCTTAGTTGAATTAATCACCTAGAGTTTCTATCATTTCTCTCTCTCTCTCTCTGTGTGTGTGTGTGTGTGTGTGTGTGTGTGTGTGTGTGTTTGTCAGAGGTGGTATTCAGGAGGTTCTGACCAGTTCTGGAGAAGCAGTAGCGGAAATTTTGAGTAGTTCAGAGGACTGGCAAATACCACCTCTGACTGGTGATTTTACAGTATCCTTCCCCTGCCCCGCCCACCAAGCCATGCCCACCAAGTCAAGCCCACAGAACCAGTAGTAAAAAAAATTTTTGAATCCCACCACTGGTATGTGTGTGTTTTCCTATATCAAACATTTTATTATGATCAAAATTATGACTCTAATAGGTTGAATTAAAAATATATTTCTCATGGGAGAAATGAATGGATACATGCACATAAAATCACACTTTGATCTTCAATAAGCTTGTATATAACTTTGTGTTTAAAAATGCTATAAGTTATTTACCAATATATTATATTTATTTTTCAGGAAATGTTTTTGTGGTCAACTTAGCTATCGCTGATCTGATTGTAGCTATCTACCCATATCCTCTGGTCTTGACATCTGTCTTTCATAATGGCTGGAACCTCGGATATATACACTGCCAACTCAGTGGATTTCTTATGGGCCTCAGTGTGATTGGATCTATTTTCAACATTACAGGCATTGCAATTAATCGATATTGCTACATCTGCCACAGCCTCAAGTACAACAAGTTGTACAGTGAAAAGAATTCTGTCTGCTATGTCATTTTAATATGGATTTTGACTTTTGTTGCCATTGTGCCAAACTTTTTTGTTGGATCCCTTCAGTATGATGCTAGGATTTATTCATGTACTTTCTCTCAGTCAGTGAGTTCCACATACACCATAGCAGTGGTCTTTTTTCATTTCATGCTTCCAATAACCATCGTAACATTTTGTTACCTAAGAATATGGATCCTCGTTATCCAGGTACGGAGAAGAGTTAAACCTGACTACAAACCTAAACTGAAGCCACATGATTTCAGGAACTTTATCACCATGTTTGTAGTCTTTGTACTGTTTGCAGTCTGCTGGGCTCCATTGAATTTCATTGGCCTTGCAGTGGCAGTCAGTCCGGAAATGATAATTTCCAAGATTCCAGAGTGGTTGTTTGTTTCCAGCTACTACATGGCATACTTCAATAGTTGCCTTAATGCTATCATTTATGGACTTCTAAATCAGAACTTCCGGCGAGAATATAAAAGAATACTTAGGACAATTTGTACAAGAAAAATTTTCTTCCAGGACAGTTCTAATGATGCTCCAGAAAGGATAAAAAGCAAGCCCTCACCCCTGCTCACACAAAACAATTTAGTGAGGGTTGGCTCAGTATGAAGGGAGATATCTAGTTACTAACAATTACTCAATATTATGTTACATGACACCCAAGTATTACATCCACATACCAGTCCCGTTCTTCAACTTCTGTTACAATACATGGAAACCTATGTGCATATATTGTATGCATTTAGATAAGATTACATGTATAACATTTTGAACCAAGTTAATAATTACATATTCTATTATCACATTATGTATGATGTTATACACAGTAGGCATGTTTTCAACAAAGATACTTGAAAACCATTGATCATAGTTAAGAAAATATGTCAGTTACACCTGACTTAGATAATTAGATAATTTCCAGTAATTCAGTGACACCACAAATGTACATTGCACTCCTAGTCTTCTCTAATGTAAGATAATTGAATTCACAATGGCCTATAGTTGGGTATATGAAGGTATAGAATTGTACCTTTAGGTTATCAACAGAATTATAAAATAATTCACTGTAAATTCTTGTGTAATTTAGATTAGCAAAAAAAGAAGGATTAAAACTAATCCGTTCATTACTTTGATTTCCTATGCTTATCACAGCTTCTTCCAACATTCAGCAGCCTCTTCCATTGCTTGCTATCCCTAGAAGAGATTCTGTCAGTACACACAATTTGTCCATGGATGCCCTGTATGGACAATTACATGTAGAGGAAGTTAAAAAAAAGAGTTTGTGAGAATTAGTTGCTTCTTTGCCTCAACCAAAAGAACATTATAATTTTATGGATCCAAATCTATTTCTGTTGCTAATAATTTGGAGGCACATCTTAGAACCAGAAAAACTTTTGATATAAAGCCTCCTTTGATCTGCCTAAGACAAACTACAAGATTGTTTCCCTTTTTGGTTTTTTGGACATCAGACCTGGATGAGGTCTTGAAAGAGCTGCAAAGTGCAAGGAAAGGCTTTTTTTCTTTATGCTCTGAAGGGGCAGATGTCCTCAAACAGGGTATCCTTAACTTAAAGTTGCAGTAATATCTCCATTTTATTCTGGATAATAAAATATTTTTAAATTGTGGAAATATAATAAAATATTGGCACATAAAAAAACAAGCATTATTCCTTAATTTATATTTTGATAGAATTTTTGTTAAAATTAATAGCACATAATGATTTGGTGCTTTAAGATTAATTCATTTGCATTAATTATAAAGTTACCTGATACATTTACAATATTTTAGTGGTTAACAAACTTTAACTACAGCAGTAATTTTAATGACTCTTATATACTGATTTATATAATAAGATTTTTAGTTCTGTGGGTTTTTTAGAAAAAAACTTTAAATGTATTCATATAATTAATCAAATAGGATCTTCTAAAATGAGTTCATGATTAATTATAACTCTTAGTATTTTAAAAATAGAAGAAAATCATTTTTCCAGAAGAAATTCTGTTTTCATAGAATCAATTTTGGTAAAATTATAATCTCCTTTACATTGTAAATTTATTAATTGTTCCCTTTAAAGTATAAAAAAAAAAATCCAATAATACAATAATCCAGAATAAATATTAGGGTATAAGGCTTTGTAGAAACCAAATGCATATGAATCAGAAATATTTTTTCTAAAAATGATTTTTGAAATAAGAACATGAATTAATTTTAAAAGGCAGACATAATTTGTCTATAATATTCTTTAAAATCATCTTAGTAATAGATGGTTTTTCACAATCCTGTGAACATTTCTTGGATTAGCCTAGCCAAGAATCATTGTACATGCTTTACCATATTTGAAACAGACCAGTTAACAAAATATTTTGTTTTCTCTAAATAACCTTGAAATAAAAGTGGATTTGAAATAATAGGTTATATATTATCCCATTAATAAAGTCTACATAAATATGTCCATGAACACTCCATACTCAATGAATACTCCATATTGTTCATGAATACTTTATTTGAGGAACACAGGCAACCAGGTAGTTATATGAGCTTTTTATGAGCATCTGATTAACCTGTAGAACATCAGAATAAATGAGCAAGTTACCAGATTTAGCATGTTTTTCCTTATATTCTTGGTTTCAGTAATTCATGACCCTTACTTTATTCTATCCTGGTGAATTTTAAATCTATCAAAATATTTAAAGCCAACCAACTTAATGAAGGAGAAATAAGCTTCACCATACAACTATTTAAGCTGAAGAGTTGTGTTATTAGAAAATTCTGAAGTTAATCTGATGCTGCCATTGAGAGCATGCCACCAATTTCAAATGAGGGTGTGGGATGCATTGATCCCTGCTCAGGTATTTTCATAGGCTAGGTATTCCGCAAAATTGTATATGATTAGCTAAGGCAGTGGTTGCCAACCAGTGGGCCAGGGATCAATGGTGGTCCACGAGAAAATTTTGGAGGTCTGCAGAGAAATGTCACCATCAAAGAAGCTCCCCAAAGCAATTAATCCAGGCTGTGTGGGAGCACAAGGCTATGACGCCCACATGGCCTGTGGGAACACAAGGCTTGCGGTGTTGCATTGAGAACAACATGAGGTTGTGAGGGGAGGGGGGAACTGGGCAGAGGGGGCAACTTACCCCACTCGGCCCATGCACCTCGCCTGGCTACGGGGCTGCTTCTTTCCGCTTCTTTCTTCTTCTGCTTTTGGCTGCACACAAGGAAAGCAGCAAAAGTCTTTCTTTCCGTCCCCCAAACTCCACCAGAAATGAATCTTTGGGACCCTGCAAGGCATCCTGCTCCAAGAGCTGTGCCAGCATGACAAGTCTCACAAAGACTCATTTCTGGCGGAGTTTGGGAGAGAGAAAGAAAGACTTCTGTTGTTTCTGCTGCTTTCCTTGCATGAAGCCAAAAGTCTCTCTCTCTCTCTCTCCACCTGAGAACAGAGCTGGAGACAGTATCCTGCCATCCCAAATAAAGAATGATCGATCAGTAGGAAAACGGGGAGGGAAATTTTCCTGCAGACTTTTTTGGGGATTTTCCCAGGGTCTCTGGTCCACAGGATTTAAAATTTAAATTTTGGTGGTCCCTAAGATCCAAAAGGTTGGCGACCCCCAAGCTAAGGGATCTGTACTTTATTCCATGTAAAATTCTTCTATTTAAAAGTACTTATTTTGTGACATCTGCTAATTTGACTAAATGACCAGCAACTCCCTACTGTTATGATACAGATTGGCTAGTGGTAACAAATGATGAGGAAGAAATTTAAAAATCAAGAGGTGTATTGCCGTGTAGAATAAAAATGAAAAATAATTATCGTTATTAATACAAAATCAAAACAGGAAAAAGATGAGGTTAGAGAAAGACAATTACAAAAGTACCATTCCCAGGTTCTCTTTAGGCCTGGAAGTAGCTATACCTACCTGTTGTGATTGGAAGGTCCAATCCTGTTAGGAACTTTGAATCTGATGACTGTTAGATCATGGATTGACGTCAGAACCAGGGAACGTTACTCCCTTTAGTTTGATTTGATTGTGAAATGACTGTTGAATTTCAAAAGGGAATCTTAACAGTTTTGCTTGCAGTTTTGAATGAGAACGTTACTCCCTGTAGTTTGATTTGATCGTGAAATGACTGTTTGAATTTCAAAAGGGAATCCTAACAGTTTTGCCTGCAGTTTTGAATGAGAATGTTACAAGGGAGGACATTTGATTTGCAGGACCGGCCTGAACCTTCAACCTCCTCGGCTTCTCAATCAGGTTATCAGCCGGGAAGTCTTCAGGTGAAAGTAATAATTTAGATAATCGCTGGGTGGATATCAGAAGCAGGCGTCTCCTGACGAGAGAAACCAACGGGAGCACAGGAGGAGGGCAGATCAGTAATTAGACTAATTAGCTGCTGCTCTATAAAAGGAAGAGGGATGACTCTGCACTCTTGTCGGGAACAAATTGTCTGCAAGGAGAGCTGAAGACTTTGACTTGGAGGATTTGGGTCTGAAGTATTTTTGTTTGAATTGGATTTGTTGGAACTATTATTTTGGATTGTTTTGTGGAGGCTGGCCACAGCTGTGATCGGTGGAGACTCCTGGTTGCTGCCTTTGTTTGCGAGGACTGCTGCTTTCAGCCTTATCTGTTTATTTTTGAAGGTGGGACATAACACCTACCATAGTCACCATTCTGGTATATTCATGAAGCTAAGGTGAGGTATCACTGAGGAAAATGATCCATTCCCTTCTCTCAGGATTTAGCTCACTTACAATTTGGGCATTTTAAATTGTTGGGGATTTTGACAGTTATTCTGTCAGTAAGGCTTGTTTTAGATGACCTTAGAGTTTACATATTTCTCACTTCCATGAGAGAAACGTCCATGGTATAAAACTAAAGTCGGCTTTCAGAGATAACTGTCAAAATAAAAGTGACTTGATATGTCTCCATCCTTTGCTTGGTAGATGGTGAATTGTGTGGTGAAATGCACCATTATAACGTAATAGATGGAATTGGCCTTGGTATCCAGCTTGGTATGCTGGATAGGAAAGGAATAAAATATAAGGGGAATGAGGCAGTTAGAGTAGTAGAATTTTGTAACAAGAGCTGGATAGCCCCTTTCAAGAGTGGCAATGGATTTTGTTTTAATTCAGCTATGCTGGAGATCAAAGAAATAAGTCTTCCTCTGCTTCCATGCAATTAGCATCTTTCTATGCAAAAAGAAACCATGCTATGCATTAAGCCCAAAGTATGTAATTCCAGAAGAAGCAGATTCCAGATGAAAAGAAGAGAAAAAAGGAGATTCATAATAATTTGACACTAAGGTGCAATTTTCATTTCAAAATTTTGTAGGTTTCATAGACTGGAAGGAAACTTTTTCTAAACCAAGCCAATTGTGGGACAGAGTTAATTAGTCATCTGAAGAAGTAGGGAGTTTGAAACAGATCATTAGCTTATTGTGGGAAGGTACAATTTAGCAGATCCTGTGAAACTAGGAATTCAGTAACAAGATAAATACCGGCAAGTCAGAAAGAATAATAATCTTTAAAACAGCAGTCACAATCACAGACTGCAGCTTTGTGAACAAAGACAAATGATTGCCTTCTGCATGAATTATACTGAGACCATAAATGTGAAACAAAATATTTTCATAAAAATAAATCACATAATTCATCTAAGAAATTTT